GTGCCCCTCACCGCAGCTCCAGCCCCACACTCCTCCCACCTGGCTGGCTTCTCAGGCTTCAACATTTATCTCAGATGTCACCTCCTCTAGGGAGCCTTCCTTGAGTCCCCAACAGAAGTAAATTCTTCTCCCCTTTGCTTCCAGATCCTCAGTGTTTACACCTCCCATTACTCTTACCACTCTCCTGAAAATATGGAAACTGTATTTAACATGTCTGCCTCCCCAGCACTTCCTGTACTCAGGCACCATATTCACACTAAACTATGCCCTCCTCCAGGGCAAGGGCCATGCCGCAATTGCTTTCTATCCCACAGCCTCACACAGAGCCTGACACAAAGTGGGTGCTCAACAATGCTTGCAGAGCTGGAGCAACTGCCCCCACTGAGCTCTTAGGTGGTGGATTCACAGGAGGAGGAGCTCCCAGTCTGATGGGGGAAGTGCTGCAGCCCCACAGGACACTGTGCAGAGAAGGAAGTGTCATCGGAATGCAGCCCAAGAGAGGTGTAAGGGAGACAGAGCATCAGGTGATCCATCAGGGCACAGCCACTCCTAGGAGACTTCCTGGAAGACAGAACTTCCTCCTAGAGGAGATTAGAGTCCTGCTGTCTCTCGAGTGAGCTCTTGCTCAACAGCTAACATCCAGGTCCTCCTTGTCCTTCAAGACCCCACTTAAATACCATCTCCTACATGAAGCCTCCTACAATAACTAACCCCCTCAGCCAAGACTAGAAGCAATTTCACCCTCCTCTGGACTGCCATAGCCTTTGTTTGTAACCCCGAGTGGCACTCATCTGCCTATCTGGTTACCAAATTATTTACATGCACGTTTTTATTTGGACATTATCATCTATATTGAAAGCTCCTGGAAAGCAGAGTCTAATTCTTGTTTATATTTGGGTCCCCATTGCCTAGCACAGACTAGGTATGCAACAAACATTTGTTTGTTTATCCAATCTACATTTGTTAAACAGCTACTATATGGCAAGCATAGTGGTTCTGGAATATCAAGATGAGTAAAACCATGGTTTCCGCCCTCAAAGAATTCAATAGACTAGTGGTTTGTTGAGTAAGTGAATAAATGGGTGAGTGGATGAATGAATGGGTAGATGGGTGTATGGATAGATGGATGGAGGGTGGATGGATGCGTGGATAGACGAACAGGCGGGTGGGTGGATGAATGGGTAAGTGGGTGGGTGGGTGGATGGATGGATGGGTGGGTGGGTGAATAACAAATGGTAATCAAAAACCCTTTTCCAAAAAACCTCTTCCTAGCTTATCTAGCTTCTCATCAACCTTCTCCCTTGAATTTTTGAGGATGAAATCCACAACACTTGAAGTAAAGAAAACTGCAGATGCAGAGCAATCTCACCTTGACCCAAAGTCAACCAGGAAACCAGATACAGCAATAAGCCTGAGTCCTGGGGCTCTACCACCAATGAAATCATTCATGGCCATGGTTCTATGCTCCCAGCCTTCTCTTCATAGGATAAAAAGATGACTGCCCTTTCCCTTTTCCCTGGTTTGGCCCACTATTACCATGCCCTGAAGTGTCACAAAGTGGGACACTGTTCCCTCAATGACTTCCCTAAGTCACTGTCTCACTAAACTCTGAACATCCACCAAGACATGGTAGTAGTCATGCCTTATCCTGAGGTCCTACAATCTTAGAACCCAAAGCCTGGGTCACAACAGTGAGCTAAACCAAAATCCCAGTGGGATAGTACTAAATAAGCCCCCCTTTGCTATATCCTTCTGGTTTTACTAGCAACACAGCAGGGAGATTTCAGAAGTGTTGGCATGAGTTTTCTGAAACTGAGAGGGCTGGACCCAGAGCACAGGGTCTTGGTGATGGGGGAGGGGCCTATGTAAATGTAGTAGCCGCTTAGGAGCCAGGAGATGCCTGAGCCAAACTGATGGTGGGGCTGCAGCCAGGGAAGTGGGGCAGCCAGGGAAGATGAACCAAATAAATCGATTTAAAGCTTTGCCAACCCACAGCTGGGCCCATCAGACGTGAGAAGCGATTTCAGTACACCTAGAGGTGAAGCATTTAGAAGAAAAGGGAGAGCACTGGCCCTCGAATGGGGCAGGTAATACAGCGTGTGCCTCCTAGTTCCCCTGAACTCAAAGAGCTGGACAGCATCCAATTCAAAGGATCTGAAAGAAGGGAGCTGCCTATGATCTCAGCAGTGCATTTCCCCCCCCCCCCCCCCAAAACCCCCTTAACAAGCCACCCACCTTCAAACTGGGGATCATGGCCAGGATCCCCCCCCAAAACTGTTCTGGAA